ATAGCTTATAAATTAATGTTAAGTTTTGTATCAAAAACTATTTGATTGAGGCTAATAGTAAATGAATGATCAATATTACATCTTGATGCTAATCTATTCAAAGACTGATAAGTTTTTTACTTAAAGGACTTTTCTGTTTTGGATTAAGAATAAGAATACAATAGATTGGTACAACTTAGAAATTAAATTCTTTTAGGTGATAATATTTATATTCTCAAAACATAAGATTTTTTGAATAAAAGATATACGCAAAATTTTAATCGTAATAAATAAAACAAAAGTAAAATTTAACTGTGTATAAAGGACTTGGCAATAAATTTGTATTTTTGAGTCAGTTAAATACTATTAAATTAAATATCTTCTCAAAAAGTAAGGCAATTTTAAGTATTGAAGAAATCGTTCAAAAATGAAAATTTAACAGAATTAACAAAATTAAAATTAAAAAATGTTATTATGAAATTTTTTCTATAGCTTTAATTTTTGTTTTATATATTTATTTAAATTTAGAATATGATATTATTTATAGATAATAAGCAATGCTTTAAATAAATGTTACTAGGAAATATTTTATTTTAATTAATCTTCCTAAAAATATTAATTAAGATTCATTCTCTAAATCTAATAATGTCTATCAATCACATTTTTAACCTTCTCTCTCTTATTCTATTCGTACAAATTTTCAACATCTATATCTAACACATTGGTACATAATCTATGATCTATTTCTTATTTCGCTTAACTCTAAATTTAATAATATCACACATAAATTATTAAGACCTTTAAAGAGTTATTTTTAAATGGCTAGACTTATTTCAACTTGTTTTCAAACAGCTTGCCATACTGATTCCTTTTTATTTACTTCTGCAACCTCTTTGTCTTCTAATTAAATTTAGAAAAATTAATACTTTAATCTTCTAAAATCTTAATAGTCTTTAAATTATCCTCCTCATCCAAATTTTAATTATTGATTAGTTTCTTGATCAAATATCTCTTCTTAACATTATTTTTGTTTATAAATATGCATATTTTATATGTGTTGGTGGCAAATTAAAATATATTTTCTAATAAATGTTATTAATGTAATTATATTTTAAAATTTAAAATCTTTAATTTTTAATTTTTAATTTGAATCCCTGCACTCATAATGATGAATCTAAGCAGCTAAACTTTATATATAGTTATAATTAACTAATCATTATATATTTAAAGAAGAATTTATATTTTTTCATGCTATTAGGCTGTACTTTATATTCAGAAATAAACTAAATATTAAACCTTAAAATATAGGAAGCTTTAGATGATATTACTGTCAATGACATAGGATTTGTAATTTGCTCCCTATTTAGATGTAAAATGATATAACAAATATCAAATATAATATAATCCTACTTTCAAAAAAAGTACAATAAGTAAAAGGATTATTAATAAAATTTAATATTACTCTGTAATTGACTTGATATAATTCATTATAAAGTAATATAATATAAAAGTTATGTAAGCAAATTAACGTATTTTATTGCTTTTTGATTGTAAGTAATATAAAAACTCATAATCTAAATACAATTTTATTTTGTAAAGGAGGAAGTTCCTACCATAATAATTCTTTACTTATATTTCATTTATCTTCCAACAAAATAATTCATAATGTTGATTTATAACCTCTTTATAAGCAGTTTAGATTTTCTTTCACTTGCAAAAATATCACAAGTGGTTAGGAGAAAATATTTTGCAGACTTCAGTAATTTTTGACAGATAAATGAATCTTGGAATTTAGCTTTGGGTTTTTAAGAAGTAAATATTGTTTGGTAAGGCTTTCTCATAAGTATTTATTTAATAACAATCCTGAAAAATTAATTATAATAATAAGAGACTATTGAATGATATATCATAAATTATAATTCTGAATTGGGTGTCAATTTAATGTTTATATATTTCAATTTCTAAATATTCCTATCTTTTAAAGAATACCTAAAAAACTTTAATTCCAAAAAGATTTTTTGAATTTTTTACTTTTGACATTTTTGGGATAATGTTGAAATTTAATTTTTAAACTAAAGAAAATTAATTTAGTCTTTATATATTAAACTAATAATATATATGTTTCAATGGTTAGAATTGATCTTTTTTTATTATTTCTATATATCTGCTAGGATCATTAATTTGCATTGTTTGACTAATAACAACTGTTTTTTTAACAAAATTTTAGGTTACATAGCAGTTTCAAATCCTTTATATGAATTTTATGAATTGAGACTTACATTTAACTTATATTCTATATATTTTAGAGGATTTCAAAATTTATATTAATTTATCTTAATATTATAATAAAGCAATAACAAAATATGAAGATAATAATAAATCCTTTTTTTTATATGATTTCAATAAAATACATTAAAATATTCAATATAAATGAAGTTGATTGAAACAAAAATTTATTTGAATATATTGCAAAAAGTCAAATTTTAGTATTCATGAATTTCTTTATACTTCAAAAAATGTAAAAATAACTATGTACAATTATTGATCATTCATAACTGCCAATATATGGTATTTGCCTAAATCCTAATTGTCATTTACTAAGACCATATTGTAATCAGTGTATGCAACAATAACACTAAAAACATGTTGAATCTTTAATATTATTTGAATAAACTTCCTCATGGATTAAAACCAGAATGAATTCAATATCAGAAATAAAGAAATTTATCAAAATGAGCTTAGACTTATTTCACATCCTACAATTTGTTAATAATTTTTAAGAAAAGGAAATCAATTAAGAGTATATGGAAAAATTAGGAACTTCTTAGTTAAATATGCTTGCAAATGATTTAACTAAAATAGATCACTTATTATAATTCCCTAATTGGAATGAGGCAAATAAATAACTTTTTTAAATCTTTAATTTTTGTTAAACCACGAAAAATATTCATCAAAGAGATTCAATTAAATATAAAGGTTAAATTGAATAAGGAATTGTATAATAATAATATTAATATTAATATTAATATTAATAATAATAATAATAATAGTAATAATTATTATAAAACGATGGCTTTAAATAATAAGAGTTTCCTTAAGAATTTTAAGCTGAAATTTGGTCTGGTACTAGATTCATAAGAACTAAACTGTTAATCAACTTAAAAAATAATAACGAAATTCAATACATTCATGATGGATCCATAATAAGAAGGTAGTAATATTTATCTTTAAATGAAAATAGCGATTAAGTAAAAGATGCTTCCATAAGGCCAGAAATATTAACTAACTTAGAATAGATTTATTATTTATAATGGAAAGGCGAGTTTGGAAATAATAAGAAGATAGGAAGATGGATAGCTACATGGATGGGTAACACTTTGAATGGTGTAGGTGGTTAATACACTAATGATGGAAAAAAACATGGCAAATGGAAAGAATTAGTTTAGAATTATTAGAAGTTAGCTTAATTTAATAATAAAATAGGGAAGCCCAAGTTTATGAAGAAGGTGAGCATGATAATGGCTTACGAATAGGAGATTGGAAATATAATTATAAGGATGAAATAATGTAAAAATATATGTATTAAGTTTAGTAATGGTGGTATTTATAATTATAAAGGTGAGAAGGATGGATAATGGACTGAATTGAGTAAAAAATTTTGGGATAAATCTTAAATAATTTATAATGGTGAATATAAAGATGGAAAAAAAGTAGGTAGATGGGTGATAAAATATGAAGGAGTAGAGATGTAACATTAAAATATAAAATATAAGTGGTGGTGGACAATATTAGGATTATCATCCTTAAAATAATTTGTTTGGCGAATATGATTATTAATCAATCTTGTAGTAAAATTCCTAAGTCTAATAATTACCTTCTTCTGCAAACATTAAGGTCGACGATATTGCAAATTCAAATAAATTTGGGAAATGGATTGAATTGAGCAATGGATTTTATAGCAATTCGTAAGTCTCATGTGAGGGTCAATATAGAAATGGTAAGAAAAATGGAAGATTGGATATTTGGTGGAAGAAAAACTATGATGATAAAATAAAAGTTTAGATGTAATTATTATAATACTTTTTTAGTGGTGGTGGATCATATGATGAAGAACATTCTTTTAAGATAGGAAAATGGGTTGAATTGAGCGAAGGATTCTGGGATAATTCTTAAGTTATTTTGAAAGGGGAATATAAAAATGGTAAAAAAATAGATTTGTGGACTATCGAAGCATTTGGAAAATCAATGTAAAACTATATTAATATTTACAAAATTTAGTGGAGGTGGATCATATGATAAAGATGATTCTATTAAAATTGGAAACTGGATAGAGTTATGTGATGGATTTTATGGTGCTGCAGAAATAATTTATAAAGGCTAATATTTAAGTGGTAAAAAAGTAGGGAAGTGGGATATTTGTTATCGATAGCATGAAAACCAAACTTTTATGAAAATGTAAAAATATTAATAAATCAAATTTTTAGCGGTGGTGGATTATATGATGAAATTACATCAGTTAAAATAGGAGATTGGATTGAATTAAGTGATGGATTCTGGGATAGATCTTAGGTCACATTTAATGGAGGATATAAACATGGTAAGAAGGTTGGTAGATGGAGTAGTTATTTGAAGAAGAATTATGGGGATTTAAAAAATGTGCAAATGTAAAATTAGAAACCACATTATATCAAATTTTAGTGGTGGTGGATCTTACAATGAATAGAAATCTCTGAAGGTAGGAGAATGGATTGATGTGAAAGATGAGTTTAATGCTTTCTAATAACTCGTTTATAAAGGTGAATATAAAGAAGGTAAAAAGATTGGAACTTGCATGGAAATAGAAATTAGAAAAAATTAAACGCGGGGCATAGTGAATTATGATATATGAAGTAAAAATAAAAATAAATTATAATTATTTAAAAATGATTAAGTTTGAGTTTTTTTTATAAATTGGTTGGTTCAGTATTGAATATAAAGAAATAGTATTACAATTAATTAACAAATTAACAATAAAATGACTAACCTAAAATAGATTATTTATTAGTAAATATGACAAAAATCAACTAAATATATATAATGATAATGAATTCTGAATATATTTATTAAATGGCAGATAAGTAAATACTAATTAACGATTGTATTGTATATTCAATATTTTAGCATTCATTTACATAATTAAAAATAGATAAATCTAATATTTATGATTCTTAATTATTTTTTTCATTTTAGATATCTGATAAAATATATTCCATAAAATTTGTCACTTGTGGGAGAAATAAAAGTTTGAAAATAAAGGCTAAATTTTGAACTCGAATATGATTATTTTTTAATATTAAATATATGTTTATGAATACAATCAATTCTTCATTTCATATTCTCTTATGAATCTCTCAAATTCCCTTTCTTATAACTCTCTTTACTCCCTTTCCAAGTGATCAAACCTTGGTTTTTGTGTTCCTTAGTGGCATTATTAGAACAGAATAATAAAATACATCAAAAATAACATCCCCAATAAAAATGCCCATAACATCCCTATTTAATATTGGAAAAAGAATAGAGAAGGAATCAAAATAACTAACCAAATAAAACATCTAAGTGCAGACCACTTAAAAGCTCTCCAACAAATCATTCCTTTAATTTCTTGTCCACATTTGAAACAAATCTAATTTTTAGGTTTAATTTCAGAAATTAAAAAAGCCTAATCCATAAACTTTTATTAAATCAATCAATTAATCTTTTATAAAAGTCAAATGGCTAGATGATTCTGATTTATTTTTTCCTGATTAGCTTATTTTCTTCATAAAATACGATAAAATTATCTACTTTAAATTTTAATAATATATTTCTATATTAATTAAATTTTTCTTAAAAAACCTATTCATTTTACTGATATTTAGATTACATTAGAACAATCTAAAAACAGAAATCTAATGCAGAGCTAAAAATAAATTTATAGATAACTTCCTTTAGTAATTAGTGGTTTTATAATAAACAGTTGTTTTTATTAATTAATTTAATAATCAAAATACCATATAACATGTTTTCGCTACTACAAATTAAGTTTATTAAAGTTAAATTATTAGAAAACTCTTGTTGCATAAAGATTGTCAGTTTTGACCCTTATGATGCTAATTCTAATCGAAAAATTATGTATTCTCAAACAAAGTATTTTACCATATATTTTTTATTTATTTTTTAATATTATAGTTTACCTGAAGCACACTTTCCTGCACACAAAAATTCTTAAAAAAATGTATTAATTGATTATTCATGAAAAAATCTTTAATTAAAACTTCGTTGAAATAAAATTAGATATTTTTAAAGTCTATTAAAGAGAAGATACTAAGGTTTATTCTAAACAATTTATTTTAAATCAGCTATCGAATATAATCAATTAAAATACTTTGGATATTCTCTTACTTGTCAAATTTAAGCACAATAAGTTTTGGAATTTAATCTTGTTTCTCTAATATTAATAAGTGTTAAGTTTTGTAATAGATCATAATATCTTTCGAAAAGTTTAATATCATTCTTCTCTATAAATTGAATAGGAAAGGCACTTTAAAAAAAAAAAAATGAATCAAACTATAGAAAAATCCAACTTCTCTATTCTTTCTTTAGAGGTCACTATTCTTTCTTTCTTTAGATGTTGTCTGATTAAATAAAATTTAACTATATTTGTATAATTTTCCTCTTATTAATTCTAACAATAAAATCTACATAGTCATTTTCAACCTGTAAAAATAACATAATCCTTTAGAGTAGAGTATTATTTATTAACAGTAAAGCTAATAATGCTGCTATATGTGAAAACAGATATCGTGAAAATGCCCCCATTTCAATTACTTAAAATCTAGAATTTGAAGAATATCAACAAGTAGGTTAGTGCATCTATAACCAATAAGCATGATTAAGACATATTATTAAGAGATGCTTATGTGAAAGATTTTATAAAAAGAATGACAGTATAGAAAGTAATTTTTGATATAATCAACAATTACTTTACATGTAATGGGTAAATAATATCTTTTCTGTATACTGATCTGGAATTTGTGTTGATTTATTTTTTGAATATTTATTTGATAAAAATAATTGTATAAAGTACAAGGATGATGCCATTTGGATTTAAAATAAATCTTGTTTTTAAAATTAATGTTCTGGTGCCCTCAATCATCTTCAACTCAAGAA